GTACACGTCAGCTTGGCTTGAGACTTGTTGCAATGCGTAGTGTAACCCTAACATGTAAATAATTTATTTACATTTATAGTGTTATTATTGTTATATACTCAATCAGTCATCATGTATCAAGTGACTGTACAAAACATTCATACCATACACTGTAAACTGCGCATACCCGAAGCACTTTGTACAAAGTTTTGCAAAGTTCTCTCTTTGCACGATCCGGTCACATGGTACAAAATCACACATGCTGGTGAGCAAGTTCCGCAGTGGGACTTCCAAAACAAAGACAGGTCCAGGTGGACTGGTACGAGTGGCATTGTTTTGGAAGTCCCACTGTGCAACTTGCTCACTAGCATGTGTGATTTTTGTACCATGTGACCGGATCGTGCAAAGGGCCTATCTATATACATTGATTTATGACCAATTTATAAATTATTCATTTTTTTATCTGTAAGTAACGCTAAACCTAAACTGTACCACAGGCTGGGCGCATACAGTTTCTGCTATTTGTATTTTTTTACGCAGAGCTATATACGTTAAATAAAGGCGAGGAATAAGTGATCACTAGTTTTGAATACAGTTCTGGTAACTTAGGTGGATATCTTTAGTGTTTTCACTCAAGTTATCATTCTTCCATGTAATTAAGGTGTCATTATCCTTGTGGGGATTAATCCAGCTGAGTATGGTGCATGGAAATTCTATCCGCTGTTCATGCGCGTCGTTTTCCCCGACTTGCTTCCCCTGGGAAATTAAAGTCGAGCCCGGGGGGTACTCTCTTAAATAATCCATAAAGGTAAGTGTGATACCAAATGGTATAGGTGAGTTGGTTTGGTCTTAAAATTTGGAAATTTGAAGCCTTTCTCAAATGTGTAGGCTGAGGGAAGCCGATCATGGCTAGCTAAGGTCGTGTATTAGAGACGTGAACGAATTTTGGCGTTGGGTCAAACCTGAAAGAGGGTATGGAAAACAACACATTTGGGTCGAAAAAAGGAAGCGTCGTAAGCCCCCACCAAAAATTGAAGGGAATCCCCTTCCCCCCACCCCAAGTTGGGTATATCCAGGGAAAGGGAAAACAATTAAGCTACTTTACAAGCAATATAAGGCTGTACACTGGGTAGCAATTCTTGCTATCTGGTTGTTGAAGTAGTCTTATTACTAGTAGTAGTAGTGATTTGTTCTTGTCCAAGAAT